AATAGAGTATTTTTTATGAGTTTCGAGTTTCTTATGAGTTTCAAGTTTTAAAGATCGGCATTAATGTCGGCAAGCTGAAAATAATTGACATTTATGGCAGGCTAGCCTACTTACTGCGAACTTATTGGAAAACTTACGAACTGATAACAGTTTATACTGATGTCCCAGCTTATAAAAAATAAAAAGCCACCACCACCACCACCACCATTACCACTTCCACTACCACCGCGGCGTGAAGGTGGTGGATGGGCCGAGATGTGGCGTGTTGCCCGCGCTGGACCGTGATTGGTCGAGAATGTGGGCCAGGGCGCTCGACTGGGCAGTGGGGGAGTACGACTGGACCGGGCCCGGCCGGGGCGGGGCACGCGTGTCGGCGTGGCGTGTTACTGCAACAGGTGCATTCGGCGTGCTCGGAGGCGACGTTACCCCGCATGAGTCATCGGATCACCTTGTTCTGTCAAAATGCGCAACCTTTACCATATGGAATATTCCTGAAATAATAGTGTAGCCTCACACTCTCAATGTAAGGGGAAATTTTGTACCTCGCACGGTAAAAAGAATGTCTTGAAATCCGAGGAAATTTCTTGGATTTCAAGATTGAGTGGATAATTTTAAGATTGGCCCTTGAAATCCCAGACTTTGTCTTGAAACCCGCAGCTTCCAAGGAAAAGCCTTGAAGTTTTCGTCTGGTATTCAAGGGTTTTCCTTGAAGCACGATCTAGATACTTCAAGGGAAACCCTTGAATATCAGACGAAAATTCCAAGGAATTCCCTTGGAAGCTGGGAGTTTTAAGACAAAGTCTGGGATTTCAAGGGCCAATCTTGAAATTATCCGCTTGATCTTGAAATCCAAGAAATTTCCTCGGATTTCAAGACATTCTTTTTACCATGCGAAACGAAAGGTTTTTTTGTGCACATATGCAGCCCGGATGCAATTTTGTCCCTAAAACTGGACAAAATGTGTGGAACTTTACCCAATTTATCAAAAATTAGAATGGTGGGGGGGTTGCATCCGATCTGCATGTGCACTAAAACGTTGTCTTTTAGGGAACGAAAAAGGTCACGTAGAGTGCTCTTTTATTTATTTTTTCCAGCCGAACTGTGTTTTGCGTTTTGTACGAAAACGCGCTAGTGTCTCTCCTACGTGTTTCACGAGCTGATATAGCCACCGGCGGTCTGTCCAGGGCCGCCCATGGCCGCCCCGGGTCCGATGGCCCCCGGCCGTGCTCGGCCCAGCCCGGTCCCCGGCGGCGTGGCACGGCACGGCACCGGATTCACGTTGGACTTCGCATTCGCGGTGGTGTAGAGTTCGCATGATGCCTGGCGGTGCCATGCGTGACCTCCCCACAAACCACGGAATGTGGCGGAAACGATTTTGCGCACGCTGCCAAAAAATAATGCGATGAAATAGAAACTCCATGTGTTAGAGAGGGCGGGACGATGCCCTGCTTACTGTCCTACACACTGGAAATGCAAGTGTGTGAATGTCACACACTACTTGTAGGTGTGTAAATGCCCATTTTTACACTTAAAGGAGTAAAGGTGTAAATTTTTCTTTGCAAATTCACACTTACTTGCGCCTCCGCGAACGAATGGCGTTCATACACGTGAAAGTGTGTGCGACATTCACATACTTGGGTCTCCGGTATAAGCGTGGCTTTCAATGATGAAGATATTTACTGCATAAGAATATTTACGTCAAACACAACAGTTATTAACCCATTTGCGTTCGTTTGCACCGGGTGGGGGTGGGGGCTTTTTAAGTTAAGGGTTGCATATCGATGTGATGTAACGCCGCATCGCTTGGAACGTCGTCTGGTCGAGTGCGAGACAGGTTGAGTCTCCGCGAAACTTGTAAGAGTGTGAAGGAGGCGAGCGTTTGGATTAAGTTCTCTGAACCCGCCCTCCGACTCTACCAGGTACGCGTCTACTGGGGCAGCCACCAGCCTACCTGCCACGGAAGCGCGCGCATGTGTGTCTCGGGCCGACGCGAGCCGCCCGTCCAAACACCGAGTGGCCATTTTCGGGTCGTAGTGAGGCGTGGCGGCTGTTCGGCCCCAGTGTGTCCTTACCTCGGTGGTTCTGTTCCGGCTGCAACACACAGTAAGTGGTATGATTAGCAGGGGGTTCCTTTTTTGGGATGAAATTAGTTGGACTCTGAGAAATCTACTGAGCTAAGTGTGATATAAATAGGATATAGCTAAAAGTGAATATGAATGACGGACAAGGGCCTGAAAAAGCGCTGTTGACATTTACAGCGTGGCCCCCTCCTACCCCGCTCTTTTACTTAGTCAGGCAAGGATGATAAGGAAGTTTCAAGGGTACGAACACTGGGCAAAACAAATGTAGAAAGTTGCACATAAAATGATGTGTAGTTTCAAGTGTGCAAAAACCCATAACTGCGTGATGTCGAACTGAACTAGACGTCAATTGGTGTGCAAACGTTACACATTTCGATTACTGTGTGCAGTTCAGTTGAACACCACGTAATGCTAAAAATCATTAGTTGCACACTTAGGTGTGCAATATTTGCTCACTTGTTTTTATCAGTGAATGCTTAAGTGGCCTTACAATGGACGTAACCGAGGTAACATGGGCTTTAGAGTGCTAAAACGTGCTGAGTCTTGCATCTTTCGGGGTCTAGTGCCTTTTGCATTAAACCATCCGCACTTTTGGTTTCCCAGTGGTCCTAGATGAACTAGGACGCCGACGTACGACCACACTCGCTATTCTTTACGGAATAAATATCATTATAATACGCAATTCCCCAGTTAAATCCTAGATTTACTATATGAGCTACTGTGGGTCTGAAAACGAGGGCAATGCTTGTAAAAAGATCACGTTTCGTGAAAAAACGCGAAGCGAAAGTGATAAAATCACAAAAGCATATTTTGGATGCGTTTAGCCTTAAACGCGATGGAGGAAGGAGCCCTCGCGAAAGATCTCGACCCGTAGATCGGGTATGGACCGGAACGCGCGAAAGACGAGCCTTCTGCTGAAATCATCCTAGTCCCCCCCTCCCCCTCCCTTTCCGCGCTGGACGACACGAGGCCCATAGTTGACCAAGCACTGTACTCATCACATTTCTACGCGCCTCTCCCTTGGAATTTTCTTTTGCCCAACCAACGAAGTCTGTAACAGTGGTGGCAGCAGAATGCAAACTCAAGCAAATTGTTGAGAAAACCACGAAAAAAAAAAGGGCTCATGGAGTTTTTGACACTCATTTTTTGTTTTCGGGCTGTGTAGGTGTGGCGCCGGTGCCAATTTACCGCCTGTTGACGTCATGGGGTGGGGTGG